TAATGATAATGATGAACTGAAACAAAATATCGATGATCATCAATCAACAAAAATGGAACAACTATTTAATAATGAATCAGTTGCAACAACAGATTCATCAAATACCGATACAAAACGATTTAGATATTCATTTATTGAAAGTGATGAAACGAATAATACAACAACGGAAAGTTAGCCGATTATTAATTAATTAATTTTTTCAAATAATTCAACAAACAAACTCACCTTATTCTGTTTGTATGAAGCAAACAAACAAACAAACAAACAAACAATCGATCTCTATCTCTCATTTATTATAAAAAACCAGAGAAAAATTCTGTTTTTTTTTTGTTTTTAAATGATGAAACAAAAATACAAACAAACAAAATAATAATCAATACAAATGACAAATATTTGCAACAAAAAAAAATATGTAAATTATTTTTTAATTTATCAATTTTTCTTTAGCCCCTTCACTCATCAATCAATCAATCAATCAATCATTGATCGAACAACAACAGATACATCTTTCCAATACTAATCGATGATGATGATTGCTATGTTTTTTTCATCCTTTAATATTTTTTTTCGTCCAAAAAATATATTCTCATATAATCCTCTCATCATTATCATTATCATCATTATCATCATTCGTGAATTATGGTCACCAAAATGAATTTTTTTTTTTGTTTGTTTATAAAATCTTATTATTTAGGCACACACCACACACACACCACACACATCAACCAACCACATTCATTCTTTAAAATGATGCTAAATGATGATGATGATGAACAACAACAGCAGAAAAAAAAATTGTCACATAAAATTCTCAAATTTTTCTTCTTCTTTTTCAAAATATTTAAATTTGCGATCCACTCCTTTTCGATCAACAACAATTTGGATTTTTTTCTTTAATATTTCTTTTTTTTTGCTCTCCTTCTCCTCCGCTAATAATTACAAATTACAAATTACAAATTATTCATTATTAATTATCAATTTTCGTTTATAAATATATTTTCTTTTTCTTTTTTCAAATCTTGTAAATATAATTTCTGTCTCTCCGTCTTTGTCTCTCTATTGAAGAATTCAATGAATAAATATCCCTTATCACTTTTTTAATTNACGTAAATTAACCGATGACAATAATGATGATAATGATGATGATGACGATGATGATGATGGTAATGATGATAATGATAATGATGAACTGAAACAAAATATCGATGATCATCAATCAACAAAAATGGAACAACTATTTAATAATGAATCAATTGCAACAGATTCATCAAATACCGATACAAAACGATTTCGATATTCATTTATTGAAAGTGATGAAACGACGAATAATACAACAACGGAAAGTTAGCCGATTAATTAATTAATTAATTTTTTCAAATAACAAACAAAAAAAAACTCACCTTATTATGAAGCAAACAAACAAACAATCGATCTCTTTTTCTCTCTCATTTTTTTCATTCGTTTATAAAACCAGAAAAATTCTGTTGTTTTTTTTTGAAAATGATTGAAAAAAAACAAACAAACAAACAAATAATAATCAATACAAATGACAAATATTTGCAAAAAAAAATATGTAAATTTTTTTTTTAATTTATCAATTTTTCTTTAGCCCCTTCACTCATCAATCAATCAATCAATCATTGATCGAACAACAACAGATACATCTTTCCAATGCTAATCGATGATTGATGTTTTTCATCCTTTAATATTTTTTTTTCGCCCAAAAATATTCTCATATAATCTCTCATCTCATTATGCTTTCGTCATTATCATCATCATCATTCGTGAATTATGGTCACCAAAATGAATTTTTCTTCTTTTTTTGTTTGTTTATAAAATCTTAGGCATACACACACACACACACATACATCAACCAATCAATCAGATTCATTCTTTAAATGATGCTAATGATGAACAACAGAAAATGTCACATAAAATTCTCAAATTTTTCTTCTTTTTCAAAATATATTTAAATTTGCGATCCACTCCTTTTCGATCAACAACAACAACAATTTTTCATTAATATTTCTTCTTTTTTTTGCTCTCCTTCTTCTCCGCTAATAATTACAAATTACAAATTATAATTACAAATTATAATTATTCATTATTAATTATCAATTTTCGTTTATAAATATATTTTCTTTTTCTTTTTTCAAATCTTGTAAATATAATTTCTGTCTCTCCGTCTTTGTCTCTCTCTATTGAAGAATTCAATGAATAAATATCCCTTATCACTTTTTTAATTTGTTTTGGTGTCTGTGTTGAAAGTTTGCAATAAACACAAAAAAAAAATGTGAAAACAAAGAGAGATATATTGCATTCGGTTGGAGAAATTCATTTCAACGTTTTTTTGGATCGTCAAATTCATCGATTCGATTGATTTTGCACTTGAATAATTTAATTTTTTTTTTGTTCAAGCATCCCAATTTGAGTGACGTCAGAATGTTTCAGTGAAAGTAAAAGAATTGAAATTTTTGGATTTTTGGATTTTGGTGTTTCAATTTTTTTTTATATTCATAACCCTCTTTTGTTCTCAAAAATAAAATTGATGAATAAATTAAATAAGCTAAAAATATAAAAACTTTTTTATAAAGATTTTTATCTGACGACCTCCATTTATAAAAACAAAGAATTTTTTCTTTTTTTAAAAAAAGATTGAAAAATCATCGAGTCCAACATGGAATCAAAAAAGATTTTTTTCGCATACAAAAAAAATTGGGATTTTTCATGGAAATCTATCGATATTTTTGTTGTTGTCGACGTCAAAATCTAATCTGGACAAAAAAACCAGACAAAAAAACTTGTCAATTTTTTTTCCACACAAAAATTCATTATTCTAGTTATCACACGCCAATATTGTATCAGGCAATCATTATCATTAAAGTTGATTACGTCCAACCAACAAGTTAATGTCGTTGTTGTTGTTTTCTCTCTCTTGTTTTTTCCTCCTTTCTAATCATTTCACTTTCAACTTGGCCACATTCTTTTCTTTCCCCAAATTATCATGATGATTTTTCTCTTGTTTTTAAAAGAGTAAACAATTTTTTTCTGTTTTGTTTTTGTTTTGCGAACGCGAGTTTCTTGCATTTTTCAGTTTTCTTTTCATCGCTTAATGGATTGCATTCAAAATCCAAAACAAACAGAAACAAACATTGAAACATTGAAACATTTCAATCAATTTTTCCTGTCATTCCACATTCTGCCTGTTTCTGAAATTCATTTGATTTTTGATCATTTTGGTGGCAAATAAGATTGCCATTCTTGATTCTTGATTCTTGATTTTTTGTGGCTATTTTGACTTCTGTGTTCCAAAAAAATTGTGATTGATTCAATCAAACATGACCGAATTGAATGAAAAAACAAAAAATGTTTGTATAATTGGTGCTGGTATAAGTGGAATGGTAACAGCAAAATCATGTTTAGAATATGGTCTACAACCAATTGTTTATGAACGAACAAAAAATTTAGGTGGATTATGGCGTTATCGTGAACAAATCGAACCGGGGCAAGGTTCCGTTATGCGTAGTACAGTTGTTAATTCAAGTAAAACTTTAACCGCATTTTCGGATTATCCATTCCCGGATAAATATCCAAATTTTATGCCAAATGATTTAATGGTAAGTGATTCGGTTGTTTTTATTCTGTTAATTTAATCTTCATTTATCTTTTTGTTAACCCTTTCCTTTCCCTCAAAAGTATGAATATCTTGTTAATTATGCTAAAGAATTTCAATTAGATTCTTATATTCGTTATTCACATGAAGTCATACGTATTGAACATTGTAATGATCCATTATTGGATGGTGGTGGTTATCTAATAACCGTTAAAGATCTTAATAATGAAGATTCAATTCAAACAATAAGATATGATGCTGTTGCAATATGTAGTGGACATCATCATACACCAAAATTACCATCACCATCGATTCCAGGACAAGAATTGTTTCAAGGGAAAATTCTACATTCACATAATGTTCGTTCAATTCTTGATAATCCAGATTTTATTGATAAACGTATTGTTGTGCTTGGTATTGGTAATTCAGGTGGTGATGTTGCTGCTGAAGCTGCACCTGTTGCAAAACAAGTTTATCTTTCATCACGTAATGGTGGTACATGGTTACTTCGTCGTACAGGGTTGAATGGACAACCTGTTGATACTGTTGGTATTCGTCGTGCATTTATGGGTGCATTACACCTGTTACCATATTCATTACGATGTTCAGTAATGGAATTTTTAGCATCACGTATGGTTGGTCATGATTTACTAGGATTACGACCGGAAAAAACAAGATTCCTGGAACAACATGCAATGGTTAATGATCATATACCAACATATATACATCTGGGTTGGATTAAAATGCGTTTCGGTATTGAAAGTTTCGTTCAGAATGGTGTTATATTTGAACGTGATCAAGGTCGAATTACTGAATGTGATTTAGTTATTATGGCTACTGGTTATGAACATTCATTTCCATTCATAACATCCGATGTTTTTGATTTATCCACTGGACGTTTTGATCTTTATAAACATGTTTTTGATCCACGACAACCACAACCAGAATGTTTAGCATTTATTGGTTTACCAGCTGCAAATGGTAGTCTGCCACCAATATCAGAAATTCAATCACGTTGGTTTTGTATGTTATTAACCGGACAATGTAAATCATTACCAAACAAGAAAAAAATGTTTGCGAAAATTGAAAAAGATAGAAAATGGGTTGCAAATCGTTATGGATCGGATAAAGTTGAACGTTTTCGTTTTGAAGTTGAAATGTTGGATTATATGGATACTGTTGCACGTTCAGCTGGTTTAAGGCCAAATATTGCTATTAATTTCCTAAAAGATCCTAAACTATGGTGGGCATTATTATTTAAACCATGTATATCAGCACAATATCGTTTACGTGGTCCTGGTTCAAAACCTAAACAAGCACGTCAATTAATCCTAACTATTGATGAACGTATCAAAGCACCATATCGTAAAACATCCGAACAACAAACAGAAACCAAACTTAAACAACAACGTCAACAAGAAAATGGTGATTTTAGCGAAAAACCATTATTATTAAAAGATAAATTTCTTTGAAAAGAAAGATTCTGTTTTTGTAACTTTTCAGCTGATTTTTTTAAAAATAATAATAATAATTTTTTATTTAATTTAAACCTAAAATGTGATTTTTTTTTTAATTTTTTTCTTCAAAATGAACAAAAACAAAAATCATCAAAAACAAAGAAAAGAAAAGAAAAGAATGAAAAAAACTACAATAAATTTCAAATTTTGCTGAGCAAAAATAAGGATTATTATAACAAAAAAAAAAAAAATAAAGGAAGGAAAATGAATGAGATGTTTATATGGTGATTATAATTCGTTGTTGTTTGTTGGTTATAAACAATTCGGATATGAAATGAATCATTATTGATATTGTGGTTGTGCTGCAAATGGTGATGCCATTTGATCGGATAATGATTGTGGTGATTGTGATGATGATGATGAAGGTGAACCAGGAATTGGTGAACCTAATTGTGATGGATCTTCTAATGGATTTTGTGGTCGAAATTGTTCAGATGTATAACGCATAAATAATATACCCATTCCTTCGATTAATGCTAAAAGAACACCACCGATTATAGCTGATCCAATCATTGCACCGGTTCCATCTATAGAATTTCAAATTTTTAAAGAATCAAATTAGAAAAAAATCAAAAACAATACAAAATGTTTTTTCAAACATACTTCTGACAGAAAGAATAGCACCAGTCAATGCACCCGATGTTATTGAATTCCATGGATCTTCTTTTTTACGAATATAAATTAATGAACAATCAATAGTTGAAAATAGACCACCCCATACGGCAAAATTACCACCAATAATTGGTGCACGTGCACGTACTGTTGACCATGCACCAGCTGAACGCCTGGAGAATCCTGATGGTGCATTACGAAATCCTTTTATGGCTTGAAATACACCACCACCAATTGCACCCATTGTAAATGCACCACCACAATCATCCACTATACGCCATGGACATGGTTCACGGGCATATTCTTCCATTTAAATATTGATAAATAATCGATAAATCGATTGAACAATAATTTTATCACAATTTACAAGTGAAAAAAAGTAAAAATTAGGCCACGAAAAGCATCAACCAAAAAAAAAAACACAATTTAAAAAACAAAAACACCATAGGGTCATCGAAAAAAAAATATACATGTGTTTTTTGTTCTCGCGCAATACCATCGAACATTCGATTTTTTTTTTGATCATAAAAAACGTATCATCACAAATATCATTCGATTTGAGCGTGCGTTTGATGATCAAAAAAAAAAAATGCCGCATATTTACATTCCACTACCCCATAGATTGAAATTGAATGTGAATTATGTCACTTTTGCTGCTACTACCAAATCATCATTGTCATCATCAAATCTGAAAATAGCGGGCTGTAGCAGTGGCAGTAGTAGTGGTAACATTTGTTACTCGTTTATATTTTTCCGTTTTTTTCGTTCGATCTGAGTTTTAACATTTTTTTTTTCGTGTTTTTTTTTGCTTTAAAAAATTTGCTAATTTTTTCGGGTTTTTTTTTCGCATCATTTAATTTCCGTCAATTTGCTGGATTTGATTGATGATTAATCAAAAGTGACGCGACATCAAGTTTATTATTGTGCAGAGAAAAATCCAAAGAAAACAAAGCGAAGAAGCATCGTGAACTGATCATCATCATCATTTCGAATTTTTGAATCAAAAAAGAAAAGAAGAAATTTTTTTTCGGTAAATATAAACACATATGATGATCATGTCATTTGAAGTTTTTTTTTTGATTCAAAAATAGCTTGCTTTGTGTTGATAAATACATTCAAGAAACGAAAATGCCTTCAAAAAAGAAACGTTTCAATGCAAGATTTCCGCCGGCAAGGATTAAAAAAATAATGCAAAAAGATGAAGAAGTTGGTAAAGTTGCCCAAGCTGTTCCAGTCATTATTGGTATGTTTTTATTAACCCTTTATTCATTTGAGATTTTTTTTGTCTAAATTTTATCCCCCATATCGGATTCAATTTTCAGCTAAAGCATTAGAATCATTTGCCGAACAATTATTAACAATATCATCGGATGTAACTCGTAATCGTAATGCTCGTACATTGACACCAAATCATATGTATGTACAGTTGGTTACGAAAAAATTGATTGAAATTCTAATGATGATCAAAATTGTTTTTGTTGAATTTTCCCATATAGAAAAACTGCTATACTTAATAAAAATGAATTTCATTTTTTACGTGAATTAACACAATCAATACCGGATGTAAATAATTTGACAGATGAAGAACCAAACGCATCTATATCAACACCATCTGTAACCGCATCATCATCATCAGCAAATCCGGTTTTAGCTCAACAACAACATTCGTCATCCGTCATGATTACGGCGGCTACGACGACGCCGACAAATTCATTATCATTATCATCGATTACAAGTGAATTACCACAAATCATTAATAATAATGGTTGTAAAATTTATCAAGCAACACCTATACCAACAAAAACTACATTGGAAATGGTTTTACCACAACCACCGACTATTTTGGATTATTCAAATAATAATAATAATAATAATAATCACAATAATAATAATAATAATGGAACACGTGGTCGTGGAAGACCAAGAAAACGTCCATTAGATCAATGTTCTACATCAACATCTTTACAACAACAACAACAACAAGATGATCAACAACAACAAATATCGTTGAAAAATAAACAACCACGATTGATAACAACAACAACAACACGTGGAAGACGAGGACGGCCACCATCAACTGATAAATTACGATTACAAAGAAGAAAACGAAGAAAACCTGATACATCAGATGAATCTGATGATGATGATGGTGATGATGATGATGATAATGAATCTGATGATTTAGTTGATGATGATGATGATGACGAAGATTTAGTTGATGATGATGATGAAACTGAAGAAGAAGATGATAATAATGAAAATGGTGATAATGATAATGATAATGATGATGATGATGATGAAACGATAAAATCATCAACCGAAACATCGAATTTAAAGTCATTAAATTTTGGAATATCACCACCACCACCACCACCAGAAACAATCAATAATAATGATAATAATGATGATGATGATGATGATTATGATAATTGCTGATAAATTGTTAAACAACAACAACATTATTATTGATATAATATCGTTATAATCTAAAAAGTTTGACTCTAATTCTTTCATTTCATTTGAACAATTATTATTTTTATTTTTGACATTTCACTTTAAAAATCACACCTATACAAAACAACAACAACAACACACTGGTAAACACACACATATGTGACCCTGTATGACACTACCAGCATCAACCACCATTCATTCATTCATTTTTTTTTTTTTTTTTTTTTTTAAATTTTTTTTTTTTTTTTCCCCCCTTTTTTTTTTTTTTTTTTTTTTTTTTTTTTTTCCCAAAAAATTTTGACAAAAAAAAAAAAAAAAAAAAA